TCCAGAAGTACGGGAACGCAAAAAACCACATTTCGTGTCCAGAATTTGAGAAACAGCTGATTCACGTTGTTTTAATTTTTATTTCACAAATTTGATTTTAAGTATATAAAAATTGAAAATACATTAACAGGCCATTCACTATTCCTTAAAAGCACCATGTAAATGCAGGCAACATTTAAACACAAAATAGCTGATATGCACTTTGACACTTTGTCCATTCTTAAGGCCTGTATGCAGTTCTCAAGGAAAGCTAAAATTCCATACAAAATGACGTACAAGGGTCTTAAGTTCTTAAGTCAAATTTCCTTCAGGCAGAAATTTGCTACACTTTTTACTACGGTTTTCTAACGTTTTTTGTGAAAAAAGAGCACAAGCCAACCCAGGTTTGCAACAGAAATATATGCTCGTTCCATTATTTCTTGAGGATATGCTTATTTCAAGACATCCAAGTGTCCATACACAAAAACTTGCAATCATATTGCTCCTCAAAATGACAGTTGTCAGGTCATGGGTGTTTGCCTGTGGAGTTCTGCGGTCATTTTAATTACATTTGCACAACAAATTATTGAAAATCGCTTAAAAATCACTGAAATAAACCACCTACAAAATACACATAAAGAAAGAAGCAAAACAGAAATAGCAAGCTTCAAAATTACGAATGTCACACACTTTTCTCAATTGCTATTACAAATGGCTGCTTCTCAACCGGCAGCTCTGTTCTAATTGGTTCATGGNCACTATGCCTAAAAGGCACCAAGTAAATGCAGGCCGCGTGTTTAACAAAACAGCTGACATGCACTTTGAACCTTTATCCATTTTTTACCCGGAGAAAAAGTNCTTCTTTTCGCTCTATTCGTTGTTTACTTGTGGTACACAAATGTCAACGCCCAGGACGGCGCAATCTTGTATTCTATCATTCTTGGGTGTGTATAGTATCAAATAGTTAGTACTCGATTGTGATGGAACTTGCCAATTTTTACTGGAAAAGTGTATAATAACCAAAAAATTTTGCAAGAGAGCACTGAATCGAGAGTGTAATAACACGGAAGAGTTACATNAAAGACCGGACTGTTTCGGGCAGGGAGAAGAAGACACTTACGATCTAATACGTTCAAATTTTCGCTCTCTATTACCCATTTTGAGAACGGGAATGAATGAAAGGCTGTTTTAGGGCACCCGCGGGGTCCCGNTACTTATAGAAAATAGATAGGAGAAGAAGAGCGGAAGAAGAACAAGAATAAATGTCAAAAGCCGACATTTGTTGAATTGGTTGATCGTAAGCATGTTGCCTCACTCTTTCCTCAAGAAATAATGGAACGGGCATATATTTCTGTTGCAAACCTGGGTTGCCCTGTGCTCTTTTTTCACAAATAACTTTAGAAACCCGTAAAAGAAAGCGTAGTAAATTTCTTAAGAACTGCGTACTGCCTTAAGGAAATTTGACTCAAGAAAATTTCTTAGCCATTTCTTGTACGTCATTTTATATGGAGTTTTTACTCTTCTTGAGAGCTGCATACAGGCCTTAAACATCCAACGCTTATGTTTTCATCAGTTAAACATGCTTCATATGCATATACAAATAAACATATTGCACATAAGCTTATACTTTTATTTCAAACAAAGCTACACTGTTCCCATGTAAATTTGCAAAGAAGCAACACGGTGCCAATGCTAAGGGAGCGGTGCGAGAGAGACAACTGTCAGTTTATCGAACCTTGTATTATTGAATCAGGGGCATTCACTTGATTGAACGATAAGTGAATTTGTACGGTGTGTATAGGCCGCTTTGGTCCATCTCTAAGCGGATTTCATTTCATAACTTTTTGACTCAGCTGATCATTTTGGACTAATTTCATAACAAGAACAAGAATTCGCCGTAAATATCACGTTTTTAATTCTTCTTCGACCAGCAGAGCGCATAACCGGTGGAAAAAAATTTTCCATTATTACTTCACTTGGCATAAATAGCGCGTAAATAAAAATAAAAGCAAACCAAAAAAATGTCGTGGCTTCTCGGTCGAAATAGAACTCAACAACCTCAGGAACCTTTAAGTGTTGAGGGTGGTGACCCCGAAGGTAAAACTGCTGGGGACCGCAGCGGAGATGCCCAGCTGAGCAAGGCTGAGCGCAAGGCTATGGAAGCCTATCGTTTCGACTCTTCGGCACTGGAACGAGCTGCTCAAGCTGCTAAGCAACTAGAAAGTTCAAGTAAGTTCTGCTCCATTCAAGGAGTATTTATTTTGTATGCCCGAGTTGCATAACCACAATATTAACACTCCGTATTCATAATTGTGCGTACCACATAAATACATATGTGTATATGGATAAGTACGACTAATTTCACGTGTTAAAATTTATTAAATATAAATACGCTTGCACAGAACATGCCCGCGAAGCTTTGGAATTATCCAAAATGCAGGAGTTGACAAGGCAGCAGGAATACCAGCTAAAGGTCAAAGAGTATGAAGCGCATATTGAGCAAGCTAAGGTCGAGCAGAAACGCATTGACCATGAAGAACGACGCAAAACACTTGTTGTAAGTAGATACATCAATTTGTTTTTATATTGACTATACAAAATTTTATAAAATTGTAGGAAGAAACCAAGCAACAGCAGTTACGTGCCCAGTACCAGGATCAACTGGCCCGAAAGCGTTACGAAGAACAGTTGGCACAGCAACAGCGCGTACAGGAGGAAAACTTAAGGAAGTAAGTGACAACCACAGATATGTATGTTTGTATATGTAAAATATGTTTCATTAAATTGCTAGGCAAGAAGAAAGTGTAGCTCGGCAGGAAGCTATGCGCCGTCAGACCATTGAGCATGAAATTGAAATGAAGGAAAAAAATCGTCTCAAGTTGCTTGAACATGAAATGCGAGTCAAAGCGAAGGTTGATCGCGAAAATCGGGATATTAATCTAGAACAAATACGTTTGAAGGCACAAGAACACCGCACTACAGTGCTTGAAGGCATACGGTAAGGATGATCAGAGAAATGTTTAGTTTGTTAATACATTTAAATTGTACCGTTCTTTTTTATTGCAGCACTGCCGGAACAGTGGTTGGAGCCGGAGTCGAAGCCATGCTTACCGATTGGGACAAAGTTTTGACTGCAGCTGGAGGCTTATCTCTGCTTGCATTGGGTGTCTATGCTGCGAAAGGAGCAACCGGTGTAACATCACGTTACGTCGAAGCACGCATCGGTAAACCCACATTGGTTGGAGAGACATCGCGTTTCGCATTCCTTGATGCTATACAGCATCCAATAAAGTATGTGCAAAAACTTCGGTCCAAACCAACGGATGCACTGAAAGGAGTAATATTAAATCCCAAGTTGGAGGAGCGCCTGCGTGATATTGCTATTGCGACGAAAAATACGCGTGTCAATAGGGGCATGTATCGCAACGTATTGATGCATGGTCCACCCGGCACTGGTAAAACTATGTTCGCTAAACGTTTGGCTGCACATTCAGGCATGGACTATGCCATCATGACCGGTGGTGATGTTGCGCCCATGGGCAAGGAAGGTGTTACTGCAATACACAAAGTTTTCGATTGGTCGCAGACAAGTCGTCGCGGTCTGTTGCTATTCGTTGACGAAGCTGATGCGTTTTTGCGCAAACGTTCATCGGAACATATTTCCGAAGACTTGCGTGCTGCCCTCAACGCGTTCCTATATCGTACCTCCGAACAAAATGAAAAATTTATGTTGGTTTTAGCTTCTAATACCCCGGAACAATTCGATTACGCCATCAACGATCGCCTCGATGAGATGGTTGAGTTTTCACTGCCTGGTTTGGAGGAGCGTGAGCGCTTGTTGCGACTGTATTTCGACAAGTACGTGCTACAGCCAGCTGCCGAGGGACGCAAGTAAGTAGTTTTTATCCTCTCAAAATAGGTAGTCGAGAGCAACCTAATTTCTTTTTATTTTAATAAGAGAATTTGGTAATGATTTTATATTGCCTTTACAAATTTAATTTCACTACTATTTTAAAATTGATAACGTTGGTAATGATTAAATGCATGTCCCTTCAGACGTTTCAAATTGGATCAATTCGATTACGGTTCTACTTGTACGAAAATGGCGGACATTTGTGAGGGCATGTCTGGCCGTGAAATCTCAAAATTGGGAGTGGCCTGGCAAGCGGCAGTTTATGCTTCCGAAGATGGTGTATTGACCGAGAAAATGGTTTTGGATCGCTGTCATGCTGCGGCTCACCAACACAAGCAAAAGGTAGGTCTATATTCAATTCGTATATTATTACATTTCTCTTCACACATTTACCTTTTTTTTTGCAGATGGCTTGGTTGTCAGAACAGGAGCGTAGTGACCACAAAACAATAACTGGTGGAAAAGGCACATAATTTCCTACGACTAGCTTGTAAACAATTGTATTCCTGAACAAAGCCGGGCAACAACTTATAAACCCGTTTTTATTGGACAGAAGCATGGGATGAGTGCAGTTGATTGAGCGTGCTAGCATTTTTAAAATATAATTTAAATTTTTTTTATTATCCATAAAGATACCAAATAAGTAAATAGATTAACGACAGCCACTTATCGCAAGCCCTAACTCTGTGGAACGCTTGTTAAGCACATTTTCAAAAATTTTACTGCATTTAAATTTGTGCCTGAAAGTTGTGGCACAGAGCTCATGGCATTTGCAGTTATGTTTCTGAGATGCAAAACATATATTCATTACCTAAATGCGTATCAAGACTGAGAGAATTTTATATTAAACTTCTGCTTGAGGCATTGGGTAAGACATATGTATGTACGCATGTATCGCTTCTTGACCTTTAATTTTTGTTATCTCTATATTGGAATGTTGACTTTGTTTGAAAGTTATAAATAAGGAAAATTTAAATATATGTACACACATATGTATGTATGTACAGACATTAATATAAATCAGTTATTTGTAATTGTTTTGCTGGTGGGAAAATAATGCCTTTTATGGGTTTCGGTACCAACACCAATCGGCATCCAATTTTAGTCCCCTATTATGGTTTACAACTCAACTCGTATACAACTGAACTATTTATTGCTATTGTCGTTTACAACTGTGTTCTGTTTTGACTGTAGCCATTGGAAGAAGTCGGAAATTCGATAGAAATTTTGTTATTTTCATAATATTCCGCCCTATGTTGAATATCATCACCGTCAGTAAAAGTGACGATACAGCCATCGTCAGCCATGTTACTGATGCGTTGACTATCGTCGACGATGACGATGACGATATTCAGCATAGGGCCGATTATGTTATTTTAACGATATTCAAATAATTAAAAGCAAAAAAGTGTAAATCAGTTACGAATTGTGTTTTACCGATTAGCCTGAGGATGCTAGTGCTAGACAACTAACACACAACTATGGTTTCAAAGTTGAGTTGAGTTGTGTCTCACAATACCAATTTACAGCTTACAACTAAACTATCTTTAAAGTTGTGAATCATAATAGGGGCCTTAAAAATCAGTATTGGCATTGCTGTTTCCGATAAAAACCGGCTGTTTTCGACACAAAATTTGTATTAGCTAGGGAGAATCGGTCGATTTCAAATGACAATTGTTTTCTTCTTGGAAATAAAGGTTTATGTAATTGAATTTAAATTTTGTTCAGGCAAGTTTGCAATTCACTTCCGACGGAACTTGCGACTAGCCTATAGAAATTAGAAATCGGCGTTAATCCCGAAGATTCTTTTGGGAAGTACAAACATTGTTGGTCAAAGATTGTTTTCACGTCTTTTTTTTTGTTTAGTATTTGTCAGATTAAAAAAAATAAGACTGATTCTTATTTAATTCAAATTGAAAAGACTGATCTTTATTCAACAAAATTGCATTTAATTTGTTCTCTTATTTGTAAAGCTTCTGTGTTTTGCGTGTTTTCTGCATCTTCATTACTATCAAAATTTATTTGGACATGTTCTCCATCGCTTATTTCTTCCATTGCAATATCTGAACCAAACTCAATACAAATGTTATGAAGTGCTGCACAAACATTAGCAATTTTTGTTGCTTTAGCTGGCTTGTAATGAAGTGGTCGATTACCAAGCAAACAACGAAATCGATTCTTTAGTACTCCAATAGTTTGACCTACTATATTTCTGGCCCTTGCGTGTTTCTTATTGAAAACAGCTTCTAAACTTCCTTCTGCAGCTGAGCGATATGGCGCCATGAGATATGGTTCTAGGGGATAACCTGCATCACCTGTTTTTAAAGTTTAAATTTAGCTTTACAGTTACCTTAACGTTGACGTTTACCTAAAAGCCAACAATTCCGCTCACCAGCTTCGCATCTATCGCGCAACATACTTCTCGCGTCACTTACATTCCAAATTAGTGAGTCACTTGCTGAACCTGCATGTCGAGCATCAAGATACCGTATACGCATTTTATGATCGCAAATCTAAATAATTTTTGTTATTTTTTTTAGGTAAAATATAACATATATTCTTTTATACCTACAACCATGGCATTTAAACTGAAAAAGCCTTTCCTATTACAATAAAGAGGCTGGTCTTGTTTTTTCGGCGCCAAAATTTTTATGTGGGTACCTGCCACGCATCCAATGACACCAGGAAATCCCGTCTTTTCAAGAAATTCCCTTTTAATTATTACTTGTTCATCATTTGTCATATTAAATTTTATCCATAGTGGACAAACGATGTCTTCCAAGACAGTAAGTGTTTCAGACAGAATGGAGCAGACTGTTGGCTGAGAGAGACCAAGGTTGAAGTTGTTCCCAACATTTAATTGGTAAGAACCCTGCGCTAGAAATCCCAATGTTGCTGCCAATTTTATTGTATTGGAAACCGACGTTGAACGTATTCCTACTTTCATTTTCGGTCGTATTTTTCCCAATACATATTTGAAGGCTGTTTTATTAAGTCGAAAATAGCTTTCGAATCTGGAATAAAATGTGTTCGTATGGAATGGTAGCTTATGTCGGGAAGCTGGCTTTAGTATAATGCGGCATTCCCTTTATCCTTTAAACGACAAGGAATTTTTTGATGATACTTAATAAGAATATTGACTTGCTAGTATCGGAACTATTTCTCAATGTTTATTTGCCAAAAGTTCTTCAACGGCTTCGTGCTAGCAAATCTCATACGCCATCATTTGCTGCGATTGCCACATTATACTAAAGCCAGCTTTTCGACATAAGCCCCTGCTCCAAACGACCACAGAAATATTACTGTAAATGTAGAATATTTAAAGCTCCAATTTAATATTGGTCGGTTTAGACATATCATGGCACATAAATTATAGTATGTACTTACTTATGATCGGTTAAATTAAATATATTTGATTTTTGTCTAATAACTTTTCTTTGCACCTTCAGCTCATTTTTATTAGTTTCATCGCTAGAACTTGAGCTGGTATCAGATATAAAAAACATTTTTACAAAAATGTATTATTTCCTTTTTTTGAGTTATAAAATGCCACTCAGCCCAAAAATGTATCAAATTAAGGCGAATTTATTAATTCGACTTGTATCAAATCAAATAAAATTGCTTACAATAGGAATGGGAAAGTCAAATGGTTTTTTTTTGCTCTTGAAAGTCGAATGGAAGTTTGAGGAAGTCGACTTTTCACTGTCAATTCTCGATTTTTTTAAATTTATTTGCTCCAGCGCCTACCCTGCAAAAAATGGCTGACCAAGAACGATAGAATGCATGAATCACTTTTTGAATCACACTGCCAGTCGACACTCGCAATAGGGGCCTAAGTAGAATTCTCCTTTCTGCAATGCCATAAAAAGAAGCCGAAGTATTTCTGCGCAGAACTCCTTTCTAAAATGGCGGCCTGCAGCAAAGGCGCTGAACACCTTTTGCAGAGAACACCTTTCGGCGTAGGCGGCCTTCGGCCGCGGTTATAGATTATAACCCTCACAAAGTAGAATTCTATTTCAGTGCTGCGAAGAACAGGCCCTGACCACCTTTTTTTTATATATGTATAATATACATATATATAATATCCATATATACATATACTCCTTATACAAATACATACATACATATATACATATATCCATATATACATATACTCCTTATACATATACATACATACATATATACATATATCCATATACACCTTTCGGCGTAGGCGGCCTTCGGCCGCGCTTATAGATTATAACCCTCACAAAGTAGAATTATATTTCAGTGCTGCGAAGAACAGGCTCTGACCACCTTTTTTTTATATACATATAATATACATATATAGTGGAAAGTAATACAGATGATTTAGTGTTAAGTGATTGCTGTTCAGATTATGAATACCTAAATGAGTCTCAATAATTAGATCAATCGAGGTCGATTGATAGTCAGGTTAGGCCGAGTTGTAGTGAATAATTGCAATACGTTTCATATTGTATGAAAACATGGTATTATATCAATGATGTATACGTATGTATGTAGGTGAGATGGCAACCATGTATTATATTAATTATGTATAATGTAATATGGCAACCATACAATACATGTAATGGAAACCAACTTCCGGTTTTGGGTACTTTTTAAGAAGCACCGAACAGTGTACAACGTGCCTTAAATAAAATCCAACAAAATATAGTAAATCGATATACCTCATTACAATTTCAAAAAAAATAATAAGTGAAGTGACCATTCCAAATCAAAAAGTTTACAATGAATCCACCATCCTCTACACCGCAAGATGAAGCAACTACATCAACAACTATCGAAAACCCAATGAGTCATATACCCAAGCATGATGTTACTGTTTTTGGTGTGTCTACTGATTTAACTGATCTTAATTTACCAACCCATCTGGATATCTTGAGATATTATTTTTACTTAAGCGAACGTGCTAAAACAGAACAAAAAAAGTTTTCCCATAAATCATTCACTATTCAAGTACAAGATAAGTTGATTGGAATTTGGGAAAAACTTGGTATGGAAATAATGCTGAAAAAAAGTGTATTTAATAAATTGAATAAATTGCTTGACAAGTATCAAGAGCAAATCAAGAGAAGAAACAACACCCAACAATTTACAGAGTATGTAAAATCTCTGGAAACAATTTTTTACATTGGAACATGTAAATGCGATTTGAAGGCAGCTCCATGTGCATGCGGCTGGGTTCCCGAACGCCTCAAAGAGTTCATGCACGATCAACATAATCAGAGAAGACTAACAATGGATGCATTTGTGATGGAAACTGAAGAGCAAGGAGCAACGTCTATGTCATCAATGCCAACATACCAAGATCCCGATGATTCAACATACGCACCGCCACCGGTTCAAGAAGATATGGATAGAAGCACAAGTTCACAATACACAGAGAGATACGATTGTTTTAACTTTGCCTTGGTATGTGACAGATTTGGTGTGCCTGACAGAGTAGCATCAGCATTGGGAACCGCTCTTTTGCAAGATTTTAAAATTAAAGATAAGCATGGGAAACCTCTCATCATGGATAAATCGAAAGTTCGCAGAGAAAAAGAGAAATGCAGACAAGAAGTGCTTCGCAAACGGTTAGATGATACCAATTTGTTAGCGTTTTCATTCGATGGCAGAAAAGATGATACTTTAACGATAGATAAAATTGATGAGAAGTATCATACTAGGATGGTAAAAGAACCTCATCTTGTTATTTTGAGAGAACCCAATTCTGAATTGATTGGTTACGTAAGACTGGAACATGAAACCGCTGAATACAAAACAACCAAATTAAATGGTTTTTTCAACGATAAAAATATATCACTGGATGCATTAATTGGAATATGCACTGACGGTGAGCCAACAAACACTGGCCCACACGGTGGAATTATACGACGATTCGAATTGCTGTTAAAAAGACCATTGCATTGGTTCGTTTGCCTTCTACACTTCAACGAACTTCCGTTTCGGCATTTGTTTGAAGCTTTGGATAAATCAACCAGCACTGGACCAAGATCGGCAACCGGAAAACTGAGCCGTCAAATCGAAACTTGTGAAACTCTTCCGGTAAGTTATTGCTATCACTCATTTATTATAATTGTCAACCATTTTTAATTATTTTATTATTATATATTTTCAGGTGGTGGACGGCTTCCAGAAAATTGAGTTGCAAAATATGCCCCCTGCTCCAGAAAAAATTGAATTTTCCACCGATTCGAAGTACTTATACGACATGGCCCATGCAATTTCTAGCGGCGTGGTTCCGGTGGATCTGGCTAACATCAAACCAGGGAAAATTGTACATTCTCGGTGGCTCACCAAGGCCGCTAGATTATTGCGATTATATGTGACAACGGAAAATCCAGATGCAAATTTAAGAATTCTGGTTGAATTTATAATTAAATGTTATGTGCCAATGTACTTCAATATCAAGTATTACAGCTCTGTCGTGTACGGCAGTGCATTATTTTTCAAGTTCATTGGTTGGTCACGATTTCTAGAACCTCGTTTACGCAAAATTGTCAATCAAGTAATTAAAGATAATTCATATTATGCGCATTCGGAAAATATCTTGTTATCAATGTTGTTTGATGATAGCAAAGAAAAGCGCGACTGTGCCATCAAGAAAATTCTACGCTATCGAACCGATGTTGACGAGCCAATGGAACTTAGAGTTTATAAAAAACCAGATATAAACTTTAATTGCACAAGTTATACGGAAATGATCAATTTGAATGATATAAATATCGTATTTGAACCACCATTCACGTGAAGCATTCCGTACGATACATTGAAAGAATATTTAAATCAAGATGATCCACCGTTTAATGATCCAAAAATTCCATCACACATACAAGGAACGGAACGACATGTTCAATTGCTAGCTAGCGTTTCCAAACGGGTTATACCGGAAAATGTAGAGGCTGTTATGGCGACGACATTAGAGAGCCGTGCGAAATTGCCCAGACTTGAAAGTAAAAAAGACTTCAAACAATAATTTTTTTTAGTTTCTTTTCTATAACTCACTTAAATTAATTTTTTCATTTACATATGTTCTGACTAAATAAATTTCTTAAGAGAAAAAATAGATATTATTATAAATAAATAATAAATATTATTATAAATAAATAAATAAAAATAAAGAAAAAACATAGCAATTTAGCTGATTTTTTCATGCCAAGGCCAAAAATGGTGATTTTTTGAAATGATTGTATGGGGAACCCCCCAGGGGAGTTCCAGGGGGTGTGCCACTGGCATGGGTGGATCGGCCGTCCAAAGTTAGTGGGGGTCGGTCATACATTTGGACTCGATTGGAGCACTCTAAATGGGTCAAAGTGGGATTTTTCAAAATTTGCCCCTACCCAAAAGTTCGACCCAAATTGGGGGACATCAGAATTCGTTTTAGAGGTATGGTTCCTTCGGCAAAGTTTCTTATTTTGATCCCTAGAATACGATTTTCACAGAGCAATGAGCGATTTTTAAATCGACCCGCCCTAATGTATATCAAATTAAAGAGAATTAAAGTCACTATTAAATGACATCAAAATTTTCCAAAACCTTGAAGAGGTTTTCGAGAAATGTTAATATAAAAAAAGGCTTAATTTGAAATTTGACCTTTAACAATTGTTGTAGTTGTTGTTTCCCAAAAAAAATATACGCTCACCTCAATGATCTCCATCGATCCCAATATGAATTTTTTTAATTTGAGAATTGTAGGTATTCTACATTTATGCCACGTATTTAAGGAAGATTTTCTGAATTGCGTAATACCTCACGTCCCGGGCATTATGAAATTAGTCGACAATCCCTATTTTGTACTCTGAAAATAATTTCTTCTGTTTACTATCTTTTCCATCTTTTGTTCATTCGCAATTTGAAATCGTAATGTAAACCATGATTCAATTATTGAATTATGCTGTGTTAACAAGTTTTAAAGGGGAATAAAACAAAATGTACGTCTTGTTTTATTCGATATTTAAAATTAAAAACATACAATTACAAAAAAATAAGTGTTTTTCTTAATTACTAAAGTGATTTTTAATTCAGTATAGAGCACGCTTAAATACTTATGTATATCTGCTTACAAAATGACAATTAGTATACAAAATTCAATAGACGACTAAAGAGGAATCTTGGGACAAACGAATTGCACTTTAAAAAATAACATACTTTTTTTAATAAAACATAAAAAAATAGAAAATTCTAAATGCAATATAGCATTAATTTTAAATATAATTTAAACTTAAACTAGACATAAAATAATGCTTTATATACGTTCGCCTAATATATGTATACATACACACCATGTGTAAAAATTATAAACCCATCACATATTGGCAAGTTTTAACAGTTTATATTTTTCTGTTATTTAATTTTAGTTATTTTTTATTAAAATATAGTTCAAAGCCGTATAAAGCCAAGTTTTAAACTTTCTACAATAAAAAAAAATTAACATNTTTTTATTAAAATATAGTTCAAAGCCGTATAAAGCCAAGTTTTAAACTTTGTACAATAAAAAAAAAATTAACACTTGCGTAAAAATTTCAAGTTTATTAATTAGATATTTTAGTGGAATAAAGTGCAATCCATGATTTACATGATTTATATGGAGAAAATGCACACCCTTAAAAATAATGACAAAATTAAAAGTACAAAAATTGAATGGGATACAAACTGCACTCAAAATCTTTCTACGAAACCTAATTAAAAATTTTAAATGTTTTACGAGTTGATTTTTTCAAAGTTTGAAACTTGGATTCATACGGCTTTTGTTAAAAATTAACTATATTTTCGTAAAGAAAATAATTAAAATTAAATTAAATAAATACAAAAAGTGAAAACATGTCAATATGTGGTGCATTTATAATATCGACACGGGGTATATGTATGAACGTGAATTTAGACTGCCTTATATATATATACATATGGACATATCATCACTACACTTGCTTATCAATATTCTGCAAATTGCAATACTAATACGACAAATTTAATTGCACTGGTGATACGCATGTATATACATGTATTATCACAAAGGCCCTACCTAACCAACACTTTTTTCGAAACTGCGTTTTCTCAGATTTTGTTCAGTGGTATTAAAATACACCTTCAATCAAAATTTTAATGTGTTAGTACCAAAAAAAAAACCCAGTTACATGCCACTTTTTGAAAAGTCCGTTTTTGAATCTCTTTTTATGAAGTTTTTTACTTTTGCTGTAAAACTAAAAATTTGTTTATTAGGGCCTTTGTGAATTAAGGAAACGATATATAAAAAGCAAAAGGGTTTTTTTGGGCACCTTGGGCGAGTACAGACTTAAATTTTTGTAGAACCTTTGAATGTTATCACAGAAATTCATAAAAATAGATGAAAGGGGAAAGGAATGCAAAGAGACTGATGCTTTGTATTTTGACATTTTGGAATTCAATCAAGTTTAAATTCAAATCTAGTCAAAGGTTCAAAACCGTTGTTAGTATACATATAGGTTTAAGGATGAATGCATGTATGCGACTATATGCATGGTATTTATATTAATAATTTTAACTTTTATTACTGCAGTACTTTTATTTTTGAAGCGTCGTGATATTTCGAATACAGTTACTGTTCCGCACTTTGGAGGGATTTCTAATGGAAGCGTTTTCCAGTAAGTTTTGTTTTTTCCTCATCCATTATAATTTTTTCTGCTTTGTTTAATGGGAATTTTTTCCAACATGCAGCCAACAGCATTTTATTGATAGCATATAAATGTATGTATGTGAATCTGAATGTTCAAATGTTAGTTTGGTTAAGTGCGTACAAGCGAAATATTTTTTTTATGTTACTTCGCCCTTCATACTTCTTACGTGCAAGTGTATGTGCTGCTTTACACATTTTAAATATTATTCATTTAACAGCTATTGAACTGGTAGAGCTCCTTTAATTTCTAATTGCTTGTTCACCCTGTTGACGAGCTGCTGGATTCGAATAATCATCCTCTGGAAATAATGAACATAAAAATTAAACGCTATTTTTCTAATTTTTTGTTTATATCACCATCTTCATCTTCCTCATTGTTTTCTTCTAAACGTAGTTCATCGGGGAATTCCTTGCCCTGGTCACCAACAACTTCGTTGTTTAAATTATTGGTATCCAACAAGTTTTGGTTTTTAACTGCTATATCGCCAGCATCTACCGCACCAGCAAGCCCTTCATCATCGTCATTCTCATCACCTTTCGTCTTCTCGCCAGCGTTTCCCGCTGCTTCATTTTTACCACCACCATCGAAGAAGTTATTATCTTCATTGGCTGGCAAGTTGAAATTTTGGTCGTTCATAAAATCATTGTCTTTAATTTCATGAGCACCAGAGTCCTCGTTCGCCGCATTGGCAGCTGCAAAAACCGCTTCTTTGTTAGATGCTTTCGGTTCCATGTCGTTTATGGCGTTGGCATAGCGATTGTTATTGGCTTCATCATTATCGTTTTTTTGCACCTCCTCTGCTGCATCTACATCTGTTTCTTTCGCATTGTCTGCCTTTTGACCACCACGATCATCTTTCAAAAGCAAATCAAAATTAGCTGGTATGGGCGCCACGTTTTCTGGTAATTTGCGAGGGTTTGGTGGCATAGGTAATGGTGGCAAGCCGCTACTGGTAGTCGATGAGCTATTTGTCTGTTTCACTGGCGCATTTGCCTCCAGTACATGATGTTCGGATTTTGATGCCTCAGTTGTGCCCGTTTTACGGGGTGGACTTAACGGCGATATTGCTTTGCTTCCAACCGAGGCAGCAGATTGGTTGGCAGGAGGCTGTCGTATTTGGGCAATGACATAACCGTCACCCCCATCGCCTAGTTTCTCGATTGGTTTTGACAAAATCTGAAAATTTTCAACGGAATTAAGTATTAAACTCCGATTACTACGGGAGAGATAAGGCATGAAGCCTCCAACACCATCTACCCCTACACCACCAGCAACAATATCGCTACCAGCTTTCAAATCTACATTCTGATTTTTACTCGCCTTTGGATCAGTACCATCAGCGTCGGATTTAGATGTAAATTCTGTATTGTTAGTAGCTGAAATACTTTGATTCGCATGCGAAGAAGCAATGTTTTGCGTTTTGTTAGTTAGCTTAATATCGATGTGATATAGACCGGGACTCACGCGCACTTGTTCACTAAAGGATTTCTCAACACGAGGTTGTGTACTTGTATTGCGGGCAGTATTTGGTGGGCTCAGTGGCTTATCGTTATGACTTGTGATTTCCGGTTTGTAATCACAATGTTGTTGATATTCTGCAATCTTGTGCTCTAATTGCATTATTTTGCTTTGCATCTCGGTCTTTGCGCCAGCAGCATCGAGCAAGATCTCCATCCGTTCTTTTTCGGCTAGAATGGCGTTATATTTTTCCTAAAGTTTTTATTTATGATATATTAATAACCTTTTTTGAAGTAAAACACGCATTCTTACCCGCCACAAAGTAATCTCCCCATTAAGTACGTTTTTTTCTTTGTCAGCTTCTGAACGCACAGATTGTAATTTCTTTTCCAGACCGTTGGTATTTTCTAGTAACTGCTTTTTGCTTTTTTGACACCCAGCAACTAATTCGTTATGCTCACTTTTTAACAATTTGTGGGTCTGCTGCAACTTATCATAACGTACACGTACATCCATTTGCTCATTTGTACGCAGTATCGTCAGCTCCTTAAGTTTTTGCTCAAGATTATGGCGAGCTTCCATCTGTTCATTTCGTTCCTGTTCCAACGTTTTTTGCTGATTGTATTTTTGTTCCGCCATATCTATGTGCATGTCGAAAAAAATATATATACAAACATACATATATGAAGCTTGGCCCGTTTATACTTATCGACTTACTCTGAAGTTGCTCATTCAACTGCTCCTGCTGTCTTTCACAACGCAAACGTTGCTCGCGTGTCTCATCTAGTTGCTGCTGCGAGCTGTGAAAAATCGCCACCATGCACAGCATCACGGTCAGGACAGCCAAGCACACAAAAAACCGGCAGCGGCCTGTGCGAGCAAATCTTGTGCCAGTCATACTTCTGGAGATGTTCCTGGCGGGTTTTTCTTCTTTCCAATTAGCAATTTTGGCCAATATTTTGGAAATTTGTTGGGAAATATTTGCGGTCTTCTCTTTTGGTATCGCGTAAAACAAGATATGAAAAATGATAATAATGTTGCCACTTGGTCGTTCACGGGCCCCTGGGAATGCTGCCACTGGGAACTTTAAACGCCTAAAATATGCAGTAAGGGTGTTCGCAAAGTATCATCAAAGTCATACATATTTGGTTGTGGCAGAGAACGTTTAAAACAGAGAAGCAGTGTAAGATCGGTGTTTCCAAAAACCTAAAACTCAGTTTTTACATTCCCCAGCAATTGCATGCATTTCATGGAGATAAAAATAAAAGTTTACGGCGTACCACACACTCCAACCCAACTAATCAACTTTTGCTTTCTGATATAGTAGCATAATCGATTGTGAATATTGAAATTTTGTTTGAAATAAGTNATGTTCCTGGCGGGTTTTTCTTCTTTCCAATTAGCAATTTTGGCCAATATTTTGGAAATTTGTTGGGAAATATTTGCGGTCTTCTCTTTTGGTATCGCGTAAAACAAGATATGAAAAATGATAATAATGTTGCCACTTGGTCGTTCACGGGCCCCTGGGAATGCTGCCACTGGGAACTTTAAACGCCTAAAATATGCAGTAAGGGTGTTCGCAAAGTATCATCAAAGTCATATATATTTGGTTGTGGCAGAGAACGTTTAAAACAGAGAAGCAGTGTAAGATCGGTGTTTCCAAAAACCTAAAACTCAGTTTTTACATTCCCCAGCAATTGCATGCATTTCATGGAGATAAAAATAAAAGTTTACGGCGTACCACACACTCCAACCCAACTAATCAACTTTTGCTTTCTGATATAGTAGCATAATCGATTGTGAATATTGAAATTTTGTTTGAAATAAGTCTTATATCGTCGCTGGAATAATGAAATAGTGTAATATGAAAAGTATAGTTTTATGAAAAACGAATTGGAAGTTTTTATAAACCATTACAAACCCTACAAACACAATTTCGTTTTTCGGGAATAAATCAGTGAGCCAAAGAGATATTTAAGAAAACTAAAGTTTTTTCTAATAGATTAAAGGATTATCTATCCAATGGTGCAATTATCGAATAATAGTGCATGTGGCATTTACACTGTTTCTTTATTCGAGCAACGATACATATGTCGTTTGTTAAAACATAACCAATATTTTAATAAACAATCAACAAAAAATATTTAACATGAAAAACATCGAAAATGTTTAAAATCAATCACTGTACACACAATTTTGAAGTTAATAATATATTACCATATACATATGCATGTATGTACATATGTAATTATAAACATCGCTCATTTACTTCAATGCTGTAATAATCCAAAAAATATAAATTTTGTGTTGAGTATGCAGAAACTACCGCTCATAGCTATAGGGATTACCAGTATCTCACTAGAACAAAACATGCATTAATTTTTACCAAGGGGGTATATGTAAATTCAAAACTTTAAAGTAGTTTTTCTCGAGTTTTGCTTTAATAATTTGTTACCAGCTTATGAGATGGCAACAAAACTTACCGGTTACAAGAGTACACAGAATGCGAAAAAGGTTTAAAAATTGACAATAACTTTATTTACCGGTTACAAACTTTTTATTATCAGCGCAGAATAGACCTGTTAGTCACGTTACCAAAGATTTTGTAACCGGAAAATTGTATTACCAAAAAATTTTACCAGTTCTTGTCACCGCGATTCTAGGTACGTTGGTAATGCAGTTAAAATATTCAGCAATTCAGCTATGAAGAATTGTGCAAATTCTGGCATTGCATATTTCACGGGGCAATACTTTGTTACCAGCTTATGAGATGGCAACAAAACTTACCGGTTACAAGAGTACACAGAATGCGAAAAAGGTTTAAAAATTGACAATAACTTTATTTACCGGTTACAAACTCTTTATTACCAGCGCAGAATAGACCTGTTAGAATAGTTTCGACTTACAGGTCTATTCTGCGCTATTAATAAAAAGTTTGTAACCGGTAAATAAAGTTCCTGTCAATTTTTAAACCCTTTTCGCATTCTGTGTACTCTTGTAACCGGTAAATTTTGTTACCATCTCATAAGCTGGTAACAAAGTATTGCCCCGTGAAATATGCAATGCCAGAATTTGCACAATTCTTCATAGCTGAATTGCTGAATATTTTAACTGCATTACCAACGTTCCTAGAATCGCGGCGACAAGAACTGGTAACATTTTTTGGTAATAAAAATTTCCGGTTACAAAATCTTCGGTAGCGTGCAGAATAGACCTGTTAGTTGAGTACTAAATATGACTATGAATATGCGCCATATTTGCTTGTCCTGTTCAATATGCCTTGGGTTTACTGTAATAATATTTTTCCGATTGGCAGCTCTGAATTTTTTTCGTACGAAAATACTGATAAGAAAATGTCAAAAATATGATCTGTTCGTCAAAAATATCTGCACAGTTTTGCAAAGAATTGAAACGCGTTGAGTTGTCGGCGAATGTGTTGCAATTTTTACTAAGTTAGGGTACTTATTAAATGTGAGTGAAGTGATTTAAAAAGAATAAATTAAGTGCAGACCCAAAATTTTGTTTAAAATTCCACGTGTAAAGGAAGTGGTAGTGCCGTCAAGTGTTTTGTGTTATCTCCGATTAACCGATTCTCCTTATCCAATAAAGTCTTCGACTTAAACATTTGCAGCAACCGCAATGTAAGTATGTACATATATATCGACGCATGGGTAAAAGATTGTCGTAAGCGTCATACGTACGTGCGTACGTACGACAATCTTTTACCCAGGCGACGATATGTATATAGACCACGATTGAGAGAATACATGAATGAATGTATTCTATCATTCTTGTATATAGACATGAAAATGTGTAGCTAGAAAACAAAAAAATCAATTTGGAAAGTTTCTACTTTAATGGATTTTAAATACATAATGGCTGCGTTTCTTTATACATTCCAGATAATCCCATTTCACAGCCAAAATAAACAGAATGCGTTTGAAATATACGCTAACATATCATCAGGAACGTTCTAAAGAATAAGTAAACAAAAAATTTTATTCCAAACGTTCAGAATAAATAAAGAAAAGCAGCCAATGGTTAATTATATATATAAGCCATCTATTGATTATTATTTTATTCAGTGATTTGAACGCTGGGAAATGTTTAGTTATTTGTACAATGGTTTTGAGGTGGGTGCGGGGGCGGACTGACAGGGCCGTGACCTCCCAAACCCGTCTAGACGAAAGAGGATGAACCACGCTATATGAAAGTCACCCCTACCCCCCCNTGTTTAGTTATTTGTACAATGGTTTTGAGGTGGGTGCGGGGGCGGACTGAGAGGGCCGTGACCTCCCAAACCCGTCTAGACGAAAGAGGATGAACCACGCTATATGAAAGTCACCCCTACCCCCCCTCACCCCTCACATCTCCTTGGGAGCTGTTTGAAAATAGAAAAAATTTGGATTTTTTGCAACAAGATTATAACCACTAAGTCGAATTCTCCTTTCTGTATTGCCGAAGAAGCGGGGCTGAATACCTTTTGCAGAGAACACCTTTATGCGTAGGCGGCCTTCGGCATTAGGGATTATAAACCTCACTAAACTCTTCTTTCTGTGTTGCCGAAGAAGAGGGGCTAACACCTTTCGCAGAGAGCACATTTGTGCGTAAGCGGCGTTCGGCCACGCTTAGGGACTGTAATAGTTCTGTTATGCATACTTGACGTTGCCTGAGAGTTGTCACATAAGGAAACTATTAAATGAAATTTGCATGTANTCTTTCTGTGTTGCCGAAGAAGAGGGGCTAACACCTTTCGCAGAGAGCACATTTGTGCGTAAGCGGCGTTCGGCCACGCTTAGGGACTGTAATAGTTCTGTTATGCATACTTGACGTTGCCTGAGAGTTGTCACATAAGGAAACTATTAAATGAAATTTGCATGTAATATAGGCTAGGTTAGAATGGTGGCGGAAAACTATTACGCCCAAGTAGCAGCTAAGTGCCATTTTGATACCATATACCTCGAATGAGTATGTTAGAACCAGCCGGCGTGGTTGATGAAGTTGAGTATGTTGTGGAGACTTACATTAGATAGCTCTCGTAACGATGTGAACTCATATGCTCCTAGCATGGTTTTTCTGCTCCTCATTAGAGCTGGACATTTGCAAAGCAGGTGTTCTACTGTTTCCTGCTCGTTCTCATCTCTGCAGCTTCTACAGAAGTCGTTGTAGGCGATTCCCAGCCTTCTCGCGTGGGTACCAATCGGCAAATGCCGAGTAAGAGTCGCAACAAGCCTAGCAACGTCAGATCTGTGTTTCCTTAGTAGGTTGTGTGTTCTCTCAGGGCTGTACGCAGGCCACAATAGTTTGGATAAACGTCAGCCTGCCACGGTGCGCCATCTTTGATCCGACTTCCGGAGATTGTGGAGAAATATGTCTATATAAGGTTCCAATTGGGGGTGAGATCCGGTCCTCGATCGACACCAATGCGGAACCCTCTCTGGCTAACTCGTCTGCAGCCTCGTTACTATGACCAGGGACCCAAACTAAATCTAAATCTAGTTGACGACTTACTGTATTTAACAGTGTCCTACACTCCTTGATTAGTTTCGACCTTGTAAAAGACGCTAAGGCCTTAATGGCCGCCTGGCTATCTGAGAAAATGGCTACTCGCTCGCCGTGACGCAATCCACTACGTTCTAAGAGACGGCAGCCTTCGGCTATAGCGAATACTTCTGCTTGGAAGACACTCGCGAAATCGGGCAGATGANCTCGCCGTGACGCAATCCACTACGTTCTAAGAGACGGCAGCCTTCGGCTATAGCGAATACTTCTGCTTGGAAGACACTCGCGAAATCGGGCAGATGAATTGATCTTTTTACTCCGAGTGACTCAGAGTAAATACCTGCTCCAACTCCGCGTTCCATTTTGGCCATCGGTGTACATATGATG